TCACTGTAATTTCGAGCGACAAACGGACTAGCTTTTCTACGAAGAGGAGCGGGCGTAGAGCGCTGCTAAAGAAAGGAAGAAAACAAAGATGGAGGGAAAAAAAAAAAGAAAAGCGGACACTCGCGTAAACTCGGAGTGACCTCAGCGGAGAAACGAGAGAACGCGATCGCGTTTCGGTCAATGACCGAACAGAGTCGTTTTATAAACGACCGTTCTGTACCCCGAGCTCTGTGCGGATTACGGCACGCGATGACATTATTTTTGAAGTCGGGCACACTTTTGCGTCTCGGGTCGGGTCGGGTCGAGCCGAGCCGAGTCGAGACCAGACCAGACGAGACCAGACGAGACCAGAGGAGACCGGAGGAGACCATTTGGAAAACGCGGACGGAGTCGGCCGAACGACACGGATCGCCTGCGATTATGGTCGATACTGTTACTGCGATTGGACAATAGATCCCGCGAAAAGCAAAGAATGAAGAGGAGAAGAAAGGAACACGAGCGGGTTTCACGGCTCCGACTCGCGAATTCCTCGAAACGACCCGCAATTAGCGCGTTCACCCGTGACTGGTACCAAACGCGATGCTATCGTCGAAACTTGAAACGGGGTATTTCGGACATGCCTGCCTCTCTGGGAAGAGAGCCGTGGAGTGTCTTGTCAGCGTTCTTCCGCGAGCGGCCGCCGCTCGTTTTTCCTCGCGTCCATGCTCGACCGCCTGTGCCGCGGCTGAGACAAATTCCCAAGGTGTAATCATGCTAATCCTCCTCTTTCCTGAGCCCACCTCTTAAGCCTGCCTTTTTAACGCGCTTCTTAAATACAACAATCGCCGATGACGTGTCCCTCGCGTCGAGCTAATTGCTCTTTGTCCGTCCAAGGTGCAAACCGCGGGCGTTTGTATCGCAAACGTGTTGTTTCGCACGCGTGTCGAGTACACACAGGATTTTTTAATGTTCAACGTTCAATTTTCAGCGAACCAGTTCCGCGTCGCGGGTCGATGTTTAAAGCGGGGACTACAATGAGAACTTAAGCTTCAAGTCAAAGCCATAAGAAATTAACCAATCACATTATTTTCCTTATATTTCATGGTGATTGATCAATTTCTTACGGCTTCAGGCTTAAAACTTAAGCTTTATGGCTTAAGTTCACATCCCGCTTAAGGCTTCTGGTTCCCTCGGCCATCTTGATTTACGATGTCAGAAGAGCGAGAAAATACACGCTCAAAGCTATTGCGAAATACGTCGAAATAAAATGACATGTTTGCAAAATGATTCTTACGAACGATCGTGCGGATTGACAAAATAATCCGGAACACTCTCCTTTTACTCTAACAATCAATAAATAGTTGGAAAATCTACGTGACAAAATCACGAAAGAAGATAGGTTAAAAAGGGAGAATACATGCTTTGTTAATTTTACGGTTATTTATGGATCGTTTGAACAAAAGAAAAAAGTCCGGACTATTTTACAAGTTTGATAGATTATGAATTATGCGTGTCGTTTTATGGGTATATCTTTTTGTCTCAACGTGCTTTGCAAAAATTTCTAGTGAGTATTTTTTCGCTTATGATATCATCAATCAAGAGTTCCGCGACGAAGAGCTAGGAATCTTAATGATCGCCAGAGAAGAGTGTCTAGGATAACGACCTCAACTAGAAATTGATTCCATATCAGGTCGATCTCAATTAGTTGTCTGATTTATATAAAGCGATGTTGTCGAGATTCTGATAAGTCATGTAATGCGATGCATCGATCAGAACCTTATAAGGATTAACAGTTAATACCTTATTAATAATTAAGAATTATTAATAAGATAAAATCACCTTATACAAACCAGACTGATTAGAATCAAGGGAACCTGATTAAGGGATTATCAAGAAAATGTAATCTCATACTTAGCGGAATCCTCTTAATGTTATAACCATAAAAAGATTCTCCTAACTAAATAGAAACTAAAAGGAAAATATTATAACACATAAAAAGAGGAGAGAGAGAAACAGACAGAAAATATCATTCTACTGTTAAGAAAAGCGATTACTTAGCTTACTTTCTTTCTTTGAAATAATGATTGTTTTCAACAATATTTTCTTGATAACAGTCTTAAAATTTCATCACAAATTTTAAAAAAATTCATCATTGTGTAATGTTATCTTCAAAAGAAGAATTTATTATATTTATAAGAATGATATCATAAAACTTTATCAAAGAAGGAGGAATTGATTCGATTCTATACAGTAAGCGAAGTAAATTGATTCTCAATTGAAACGCAAAACTTAATAGGATTCAGAAAGTATTTTGAAGAAATTTGACGCTTACAATGAACTGATGGTGGATTTACGAATATATAGACTTATGAAATACTTGAAGCAAGTGATATTTACTTGAATGCAATATTTATTGTTCCATGTGTAGTTGCGAGGTGCTATTTCCTGTAATCCTGCGTTCTGAGTGAAAACTTTCCCCGAAAAGAGAAATATTCCTCTTGAATTTCTGAGTGAAAACTTTTCCCGAAATGAGGAATATTTCTCTTCAGAATATTTTTCTTCTGGTTTGAAAAATCCTCTCGAGGTCATATATAATTCCACTAAGGATGAGATTGTATATTCTTGAATGATAAATATCTAGAGACAGATTTTCGCTCGAACCCCGAAGGGCCAGACATTAAAATTTATGGTGGAATCGGCGAACGCGGGTGAGACGTGCCGCGGGGTGAGGGACGGTAAACGCGGTAAACGAGGTAAAGGATACACCGTAAAGCAGACGGGATCGAGCCGAGGAGGGCTATAGTCTCGATAGCGCATAGTCTCACGTTCAAGGAAGTTGGCCAGGCGATGGATATCCGTACGAACCATCTTGTACCCCGTCGATATAGCACGTCCGCTTCTACCTCAGCGCTGTGGTCTTTCTTTCGTCTCTTCTCCCGCTCCGAACATTCCGGCTTTTTTACCGTACCTCCGCTAGATCTCCCCCCTCCTTCCCCGTCGCAATTTCTAACACGTGGCTCTAACGCGCGACTTCCACCCCAAAAAATGAATTCCCAACGTCATGTACGGGCTAATCTCTCATTGGAGGTTTTCCGCACGCACACGGAAAAAAATTATTTGCTGCAGCAGCAAATTACACTGAGAGAAAAATGTATGATATTTGGAACTATAATGGCATAGTAAAAAGTTAGGAATATCTTTTTTATAGTAAATGTCACCATAATGTTTGTAATATTTACAATATGAGCATAGTATAACTGACTCATGTAAAGCTTTTACCAAGAATTATAATTATTTGAAATAAAAAACATAGTAAGGTAAACGTTCCAATGCCCGTACATATACCTAATTCCGGACACTCTTATTATTTTAAACATTTCTCTAAATATTTCATCTTTCAACGTACACTAAATATAAATATTAAATGTATGTATACCAATATGTATATATTGTACGTTGAAAGTTGAAATATTCATATTCAAATATAAAAAAAATAACAATGTCCGGGCATTGGTACATTTACCTTAAGGTAGCAAATATTAAATAGTAAGAGAAATTAACTATTTTACATAGTCAATACAATTGAAATATTTGGAAAATATGGATACATGTAACTATATTCCCAAAGCGTGCTTTATTATACACAGAGTAATAAGATGGTGACTATAAATGTGTGTTCATTCTGCTATATCTTCGTGTTTAGATGAACTATAAATATATGTTTGAGGCCAAAACGAACTATAAAATATAGTGAGATTATAGTTATTCCAACTATTTTTTTTTTCTCAGTGTAATTTGCTACATATGGACAATTAAATATAATTCGCTGTGTTAGCTAATTTTTCTTTGCTGCAGGAACTTACACTGAAAGAAAAAAAATAGTTGGAATAACTATAATCTCACTATATTTTATAAGTCGTTTTGGCCTCAGATATTTATAGTTCATCTAAACATGAAGATATAGCAGAATGAACAGATTTATAGTCACCATCTTATTACTCTAAGTGTATAGTAAAGCACGCTTTGGGAATATAGTTACATGTACCTATATTTGCCAAATATTCCAATTGTATTGACTATATAAAATAGTTAATTTCTCTTACCATTCAATATTTGCTACCTTATTATATTTTTTATTTCAAATAATTATAATTCCTAGTAAAAGTTTTACATGGGTTAGTTATACTATGCTTATATTGAAAAATATTACAAACATTATATTTCTGATATATACTATAAAAATGATATTCCTAACTATAATCTTTTTACTATACCATTATAGTTCGAAATATCATACATTTTATCTCAATGTATTTGCTATGATAACAAGAAAGTCTGCTCCTACAACAAGAAAAGTGGCTAACGTAGCAAATTTGCTACAGATAGACAACTAAACATAATTTACTGCTTTAGCTGCTTGTTTTGTTGCAGGAGCAGATTTTCTTGTTATCATAGCAAGGAAATTGGCTTCTGCAGCAAAGAAAAAGTGGCTAATACAGCAAATTATGTTTAGCTGTCCAGCAGATCTTTTTTTTCGTGGCATGCGAGAAAAATCTCCATTCTTCGATCGTCATCTCAGCACGCTGTATGTGTCCGTGGCGAGATGTGAACACGCTCTCTTCTTGGACGAGTCGAGAGTTTCGCGAGTTTCGTTCGAGTCTTCCGTCATTTGCATATCTCGCATCTCAATTGTGAGGAAACACGGAACAGTATCATACGGGGAAAGTGTAAATCACAGAAGTGAAAAGCCACAGCCGAGTCGCCTCGTGACACAGAAACATTGTTAATAAGTTGCCACGCACAAGGTAGCCTCGTTACCTTGTACGTGATTACGCTGCAATAATGACAAACTCGTTTGATTCGAGTACAAAATCATCAATTCAGCCGTAATCGAGATAAAAATATTCCCGACAAATAGGATCGAGTCTTCCGTGCGAGAAAGAGGGAGAGAGAAGGAGAAAG